ATTTTCCATACAATCCAATATCATCAATATATTCATCAATCATTTTTTAAAGAAACTATATATACATTATTGGAGTCATATGAAAGGAAATAAAAAGTTATGAATTTTCATATCTTTTATCTAAAAATTAGAATACAAATATAAAAGTTATAGAAGTTTAAAAAAAATAAAGATGTTTTTTAGCATGAGCCCTCATCTCCTCATTTTGTTGGTTGCACACTTCTCCTAGCACTTTTTCTTTTTTGGTTTGACTATTTAATATAGACTGTAAGACACTTTTTTAAAATATTTCGCATTATACCATGTAAAGTATTTTATGTGAGAGAGGGTAGTAAAGTACTTTGCATGCTTTTTATGAAGCACTGCAACGACTTTGCGTGCAATTTAAAAATAAATTACACATCTAACCAAATAATGTAATATATCTTACATGTAAAATGATTTCTTCCCTATACTTTGTATGCAATCCCTTCGTGTACAAAGATTTAATGTGAAAACTATCAAACGAGCGTTGCAAACTTGCAACAGATCTTATCATAAACAACGATCTCTTCTCCATGTCAATCCAACCTCGAAGAAAACACTGCACAAAAACCGTAGGCACTTTGGCCTTGTTTTGCCGCGGAGTAAACCTAGCCAGAAACTCTTGTATTCTTTTCTTTTAAACAATTAACTAGTTTTGTACCCGTGCGATGCACGGGATATTTATTTCATCATTTACTATTAGAAAAGGGATCAAATAGACTCTTCTACTAAACCGCTTAAACTCTTCTATTAAAAGACATTGTATAAGTACGTTTAGTTTTTAAATACAATCAATTCATTTTGATATGCTATTGCAGGTCAATTTTTTTAAATGAATTTGGAGTATTGGAAAAACTTATTCAAATTCATATAAATTTGAAAAATAATATAATAACAATATGAAAGTAGCATAACTGTAAAAAATGTAAAATATTAAAACCTGAAAAAAAATGAAGAAAAAAAAGTGAAAATGTATAAAATATAAAATACGGAATGTAAAAACCTTTCAAATATTGACATAATTTAATTTTTTTGAAAATATTTACTTTTACATTCTGAAATTTTCACAATTTTTATCTTTATTTTTTCAAATTTAACAATTTTTTAGTTTTTAATATTTAAAACCTACTATTACATGTCAAAAACTGAATAAATGGCCAAAATTGTCAATTTTTATAGTAAGGATTTAAGTGATGAATTGAGAATAGTAGAATGACTTATTTGATCATTTTCCCAAAACTATTTTGTATTTTAAATTGTTAAAACATACATGGTATATAAACAAACATCAAACTGGATTCGATCGCGATCATACTTCCAACAATAAAAACTTGTTTTTGTCAAAACAGTAAAATAAAGGAAAAACTATCGGGTTTTATAAGTTAGCTTACACTATTGAGTTCTGGATTTTTATAACTTTGTAGACACATTTTTGGTAATTATCGATCAGACTGTAATTATGGATCACTTCTAAAAAAGATAAATAGCATCAATAAGTAACATCCTTTGCTAAGGATTACTTGTGAGTTGTGACAGTGGAGATGGGAAGGGGTTGGAGGCAGGGCATTGGATCGGGTTGAGCCAATACAAAGAATATTTTTGAAAAAAAAAACAATATACATAATTTTTTTACTTTAAAATTCAGATATTTTTTAAATTTGAGGTAAGCTCTGACATTAGGTTGACCCTCCCCTAGCTCCGCCCCTGGTTGGAGGAGGGTTTGGTTGCCCTAAGATTTTTTTATGCATAAATTGATGTATATAAATATTTATAATTTATAAAAATATGTTGGAGTTTTATGTTTTGGACTCCGATCCACAATATTCCGTATAATATTTGTGACAATGGTTGTCACGAAAAATGAATGAACGAACATACATACACTTATTACGTTGCTTTCCTAAATGAAGGGTATTATCTAAATTCAGGGATGTATTAAGGTTAATATAATTATATTACTTCAAGTATTGGTTCCAGGAAAATTGTAACCTGAAACAATAGGTGATTCTATGATTTTAGATAAAATCCAAATCTAACCAATATTTAATTAAGGGCATTTCCTTAACTATAAAGAGATACTCCGTAACACATACTTGTATGTTAATGAAGTAAACAGATTTGAAGCCAAATATGACCCGTGATTGTTAATAAACTTGACCCATCAATGTAGTAATGAATCTTATTAGCAAGGAACTTTCACAAACATTTTGTAAACCCAAATTATATTACTCATACTTGCTAATCCTCTTCATATATGCATGCCATTACCCATAATAGAAGTAGTGCCGGCGAGGGATAAGGCCGGAGAAAGGTGCAGCAGATGGAATTATGGATAGCCATAAAGGTGTGCGTTTAAAGTTTCAACACATTTTCCACTACAGACATTTTCCAATAAATAACATATTGCCTAAATGGTGAAGATGAGCCATCGATGACCGAAACCTGCCCTCCCAAACCCCGGCCCATATGTGACCGGAGAGGCCAGAGCTCAATGATCATTGAAACCCTGCGCTATGATGTATTGGCGTATTGCTGATCACTAACCCATCGGTGACCGAGACCTTCCGCCAGCCCCCCTGATAATCCATCCATGCATGACCTTAGCATTCTGCCGAACTTTTTATCACATTAGTGATAGAGGTTTTCCGCCGCCCTCGTGAACACATACAGTCCGTGGCACAGCTTTTGCTACTTGATTTTTGCATTAGAAAACCACGCACTAATATATACCATGCATCTGGAACTAATTAATGACTCTCTAGAACATTCACACTGTATTTAATTACTACGTACTATAGAAGTGGTCCATTGGGAATTGCAAAAGTCTGCCACTTCGAGCCTTACTCCGAACATTGATATTTACGTACGAAAATTGAAAAGGCACACATCCTTGAAGCAATAAAATGGCTGAGCGGCAGTGTGGGAATTCCAAAAGCCAAGCCCCAAATCATTTCCGCACATCTCACCAAAATAATTAATCAACCCCCAAAATTAGCTACAGTATTCCCGCCCACACTTCTCTCCCACTATTTTGTTATTATATATATATATATAGATTAATAAATTTACGGTCCTCTTTCAAAAAAAATTACGGTCCTTTAATTTCTCCTTTTGACTCCCATCAAGGCATTCAACCAATGGCCGGCCCGGGCCAAGTGTACCCAACCCGGTCGCAGGGCCCAAAAATTTGGAAGGCCCAACATTTTACTAGTAGTAGTCGTCTGGCAGCCCAGGTCCGAGGGTTTGAAGGAAACTTACGGAATATACAGGGAGAGAAAGTGCCAACGCCAGCCCACCACGACCACGACTGCACCTTCCGCACGCCCCTAGTCGGCTAGTCGCTGGGAAGCACACAGCAGTAATAGCTAACTGAGCTAAGCACATATGAACGTTTATGTATGATTTGATTTCTTTGAATGGAAAATATCTACTTGCCTTTTGCTCCTGTTGTAATTTATTAATCAGTTTATTTATTGCTGTTTTGCTTAAGTAATTGAATTGAATCAATTAATAATAAGGGTGTTTACCAGTTAAGATTTACGAAATTGATAGTATGTCATTAGGTGACTCGGTAACTACTAAGTACTAACTTTAGGTTAATAAATAAATTATAATTATTTCATGATTTCGTCCAATATTTAATTTTTTTTTATCGTCACCCAACATTTAAATTGAATTTTAACTTTACATTTTTTAAACATGTACATGACTAGGCGATTTTTTGGTAATAATTATGTTTCCCAAGAAATACTTCAAAAGATTGACTTTAGAGCAACTCCAATGTGGGTAGGGTGGTTTCTTACACACCCTTACGCATGAGTCCCACTTTTTATCTCACAATTTTTATGTGAAGGACCCACATATTTTCAAATTTATTTTCATTTTTGATTTTTTTATATCACTTTTAACCCAATTTTCATCAACTTTTCCTCCTCGAATCCCGTGTAAGGTGCATATATGGACCTTGTCATAGATCATGGGCGAGGTCTCTGGTTCAAGTCCAGGATGGCCCAGCTGCGCCGGGCAAAAGAATTAAAGAATTATCTGACTACTTCATACATGTTCCACGGGGCTCGGGGGATATAGCTCAGTAGGTAGAGCTCCGCTCTTGCAATTGGGTCGTTGCGATTACGGGTTGGATGTCTAATTGTCCAGGCGGTAAGGATAGTATTTTGTACCTGAACTGGTGGCTCACTTTTTCTAAGTAATGGGAAAGAGGACCAAAACATGCCACCGAAAGACTCTACTGAGACAAATAGGGGCTGTCCATTTTTTATCTCTATCTCTCTTCTCTTTTTCATTTTTTCCTACATACTATTATTTCATCCAAATATTTTTTCTATCTCTATCTCTCTCCTATGCCATATCAGTGCAATGCACTCTCCCATTGGAGATGTCCTTACAAGTCTTACAAGTTTGGTGAATGTCTCTTTTTATTCATCACTATTAGGCATGGAGCCGGGGCGGGTCGGGCCTTTTGTGTTTAGGGGAAGGCCCGGGACCGGCCCAGGTTGCCGCCGGGTCGGGTCGGGCCGGACCTCGGGCCAGTTTGTATTTTTTTTCCCTTTTTCTAATTAAACCCCCGACCCCCCCCTCACCCCACCCCCAAACCACCCCAAATGACCCAAAATACCCAGCCCAACCCGGGGTTTTAAAAAAAATTGAAAATAATAATAATAAAGCCCGAACCAGGCCCGGCCGGTTCCTTACTCAATTGACTCGAGCCCGCTCTTCCCTAACCAGCGGGCCGGGCCTACCCGAACCAGACTGTAGCAGGTCAACGGGCCGGGCGGGGACCAAACAATACCGGTCCCAGGCCGGTTCCAGGCCGGTTCCAGGCCGGGCGGCCTGACCCGAGTCCAAGACTAATCACTACTTTTATTTTTATTATTATATTATATTATATCCATCAGCCACTTGCATTTTAACACAAATTTTTCTGTTGCACAGGGTTCTCAAATTCTCAGGACCGGCCCCTGGCATTCATCCATTATATTTCAGCCCCCACTTCAAACATAGCAAAGTTACGGGGAGGGGTGTCCGAAAGAGCCGATGGTTATTTGATCCCTTCTAGGGTTTACCGTTGAAGAAAGCTTGAGAGCCAAAACGCGATTTAGAAGAGTGAAAAACTGTTCCTTGAGCTGAAACGAAAGACTTGCGAAAATGAGTACCATGAAGTTCTGCTGTGAATGGTTAGTTTCTTGAAATAATTTCAAATTCTTCTTCACTAGGCAGAGTGTGTGTTCACTTGACTTTGTTGAACAGCAACAACATTCTGTACCCAAAGGAAGACAAAGACCAGAAGATCCTCCTCTATGCATGTCGTAATTGCGATCACCAGGTACTGTGTGTCCTGCGGTCGTACATTACCTCTGTATATCTCCGTACTTGAGCCTGTATATCTCGTTCTGTGAGTTAATGATGATTTATTTTAGGGTTTAGGTTCACATTTAATCATTAAGGGCGCAGCTTTTATCTACAGCCGCGGTTTCTCTCACAAGTGAAAAGCGTTTTTCTTATTTCTTGACCTTTATTGATGACAATAACCATGCTTAAAATGTTGGTACAACAGAAAAATGTAACAGCACTAGGTCAATAGCAATAGACTAGTTAGTTGAAACTTATTTTGTGTGTGTAATTGTTAATAATAGCAAGAATCTAAAGCATACTAATATAATCCTTTTGTTCTTTTTACCAAACAGTAAACAACTGATTTTACCGAACCTCTACACAAGCAGCTAATACGATCAGCAGACTTACCGGACTAACATAATACATTATCTGCTGAGTGATGCTAATCTGTCATTCTCCCACTTTTTTATCCAAAGAATAAATTTCACTTTTGGTCCTATGAGAATTATAAAAATCCAACAATAGGTCCATGATTTTGACTGTAACCACTTTTGATACATGGCAATTCTTCCACGCTCACCTTGGTCCTTCCTGTTAAATTTCCGGTGCTTATAGTCACTCGTGGTGCGGTACTTCCTTCTAAATTTCCGATGCTGATGTGCAAGAAATAGTAGTTGTAATAAATATTGGTAAAGTCAAATACATAAACCTAATATGGAATTGATGTAATAGTTGTGTAGGGTCAAAAGTGGAATTAATTATTTTCCATAGAACTCCTTTGAGCAATTGTTGGTTGATACCCGGGAGATTGGGTACTTCAAAGTTGGAAGCCACTCTTTTGTCTTGCCTCTTACTACTGTCATATTTATGTTGATGCACTTTCCAATGATACATAAACAGTGTAAATCTAGGCCATCATAAATAAATAAAATATCTACAGAATCTATCCAAATAGAAACAGAGAATAAGTAACAAAAGATTTCTCATATACTCCCTTCGTCCCTTAAAACTTTGCCAACTTTCCTATTTTGGTTGTCCCATTAACTTTGCCACTTTCCCTTTTAAGTAAAGAATTTGTGGTTCAAGTTAATTCTTTCTCATATGCCGAAACCTCAACCACACAATTTTTATTTTTTTTATTCCCCGTACCGGTCAAACTTGGCCAAGTTTTAACTTTTAAGGGACGGAGGGAGTATCATTTATCACGTGGTCGAGAAGCAATAATATGTCTTTGCAAAAAAATTCATACTTTAAAATAACAAGGCATGGTTTTGGATATTTATCTTTATCGTCCCTGCATTCTATATTTTACATGAATAGGCGAAGGGAATTGTTCGGTATAGTGGTTTACTATCAAAGCATCAATTCTTTTGAATTGATGTATGCTTAGTCTTAGACCTTATATCCAACAGGTATGCTTTGTAATTGTGCTACATCACAACCTTTATTATCACTACTATAATTTTTTTCTATTTAGACACTCGGAAATGGAACTGTTTTCCAAGAGGGGAGGTGAATATTTTTGAATAAATGTGTAGAAAAACTATGCAAGAATAAAACAGAGTATTATGAAAGATATGAACAAATAATCACATGTCCTTATGGTTGAGATTTTTTTGAAGGGTACTTGAAAGTCTGAAACAAGTCATCATATTCTCTACAGTGCTGAATAATTATGTTCATCCCGTGACTTTTTGTATAACTTGAAAACTAGGCATTGCCACCTTAGGTAGAAGAATGCATAAACCATCACAAATCACAAGTTTTATCGTCAACATTATTTTGAGTAGTAAATACACATGCAATGATGCAATTATGATTTTTCTTTTCTAGTATGGATTCCAGTAGTGAATGCATACATTGTTGCTTGAAAAGTCTCTGGTAAACAATGTTCAAAATTGCGCAATAGTATCCCTTCCTTGAGGCACCCCTTGCTGATCTTCGGCCAAAATGCGATGAAAGGCGTATCCTAATTGACGCCTTAGAAAGGCATACACCTTTTGGGGAGAGACGTACGTTCTAATGCCGCACAAAAGGGAGAGGCGAAATCGTACGCAATAGAAGGACATCAATTAAATGAAATAGCCAATAATTATTTCAATAATGGAAAAAATCTGCTCCTATCATCTCCTGTTCTATCTCTCACATCTCGCCTCTCGCCTCTTGCCTCTCGCTTCTGGTATTTATCTCTCTGTCTCGCCAAACACTCCGCCACACTTGTCGATCATCTCGCCATTGACTCCCGCAATGTAGCTTTGTCGCGAGTCGCAACCCCCCAAGTTATCCAAGGTCTCACTTGTAGGTTTATAATGACTTTGTATTTATTCAACTTCTTTAATTATGTGGAAATCATTAAGTCTTATGTTTAATAAATGTTTTCATTTACATGTCGTGCTTTTGTTGGTAATTTTTTGGCATGTCGTAAGTTTATATTGCTTGTATATCGTAAGTTTCTTTAAATTGCAGGTAATTTCAATTGTGTAATTTTAAATTTAATTATATTAAAAAAATATATAATTACATTAGAAACATTAAAGTATATGTTGGTAATCATAATTTGCATTTATAACTCACTTTATCATTCATGAATCTAATAAATTAAGAATGTTACCTTAAATAATTTGTATGATGTCATGTTTGAACTCACAAATTACATTACTTTATGACATTATTGCTTGTTTGTTTATGAAATTTGTAGTTTTGGATTAATATTTACTTTTTATTATTTCAAAGATTTTATATGCTCAAATTCCCTAAAATTAAGATTTGCACCTCATCCTTATGCCTCAATGAGCCATGAGGCTTTCGCAATACCCCAAAACTGCCTATTAAACGCAATACCCAATTTCGAACATTGTCTGTTAGCCCACTTTTGGCATTTTAAATCCATTAAATATCCGGCTATACAGTGGAATGTGTACTACCAATTGATTGAACTTCCACTGGATGGTTTTGCATCAACAATTAGCCATTAGGATCGCTTGATTATATCGAGTGCCTTTGTCTCTCCTTCAATGCTCTTTTTCATCAAAGACATCTAAAACATGGAGGTGATCCATTTTACTTCTGATTATTTGATTTCATATATGTGTTTGTTTGTATAAATCTGGATTTTGAGCTTACTGACCTTTTCCTAGCTCTAGTTCATCAATAATACTCCAATTTAATATTTGACAGGAGGTTGCTGAAACCAATTGTGTATACAGAAACGAAGTATTTCACTCTGTTGGTGAGAAAACACAAATCTTACATGATGTAACTGCAGATCCAACACTCCCTCGTACTAAAGCTGTGAAATGTCCCCAGTGTCAACATGGAGAAGCTGTCTTCTTTCAGGTCTTTATTCATATCTGTATTCCCGGCTTAGTCATGCAGTGGTTCACCGTTCACACTTTTATGCTGTTCTTGACCATCACATATACTCCCTCTCCCATAAAATTCTTCCCCAATTTGACTTGGATCAGGGTTTCAGAATAAAGTTGAAATGTATGGTTGTGGTTGAATAAAAAAAAGGAAAATGAATGTTAGCCACACAAAACTTTCCAAAAAGGGAAATTGGAAGAACTTCTTGGGACATCCCAAAAAGGTAAGTGGGAAAATTTTTATGGGACACAGGGAGTGTAATTTATTAGACCCGTGTGCTCCGCCCTTGTTCTTCTTGGGGTTAGGTTATTCTTAGTTGTTCTGCCTTAACTGCTGTTTTCTAGTCTTCCTGTGTGTTTTTAATCCAAACCCTACCAAGCATACCCAGTATGTCCCATTTGGAGGTAAGAGTCTCTTGAAGGTTAGAATGTATGCAAACTTTACCTATGTGCATTGCCTCTATCCTTGGTGTTTTAATCTACTGCCTCACTGTGGCAACAAGGGATATTATTACTGCTTTTCTGCATACATCTTGATCCTTTTTTTGTCATATCATATGTTATTAACTGAAAAAAGAGAGCAGCGCACCAAGTTACAATTTTTAATTCTATTAGGTTACAACTTACAACTCATGAAAATCCTTAGTCATAATTATATCTTAAATTTATTTGTTTGTTCATAACTTAATACCTAAGATCCACGGAAACGTCAAACTACCAGAGTTTCCCGTTTCGGAAACGTTGGTGCGTTTCCAAATGGAAGAAATGTGAAAAGCACGCGTCAGGCCCGTTTCTGTAATTTAGGAAAGTTCGAAATGTGTTTCTGCTGCGTTTCGGAAACTACCGAGGTTAAGAAATTTCTAAGTTCAAGCTTCAACTGCATTCCTGCCATCCTGTTCATCGGGTTCAAGCTTCAGCATCAGTTCACACTTGGAGTAGTTGGTTCTGTAGATATATAGATGTAAACATTAAGATTTCTAATTATTTGAATTTAGATAACCACATATGTTTATTTTCTATTATTTTTATCAACTTACTAGTTTTGAGGTTTCATATATAAGTCGTGTTTTGTGTACACATGGGCATGTGCATGTCAATTTTACACGCTACACGGACAATTCCGCACACTTTTTATAAATTCTATTTTTTTTTTATGAATTGCCAATATACACAAGCAACTAAGGAACATATACAAAAATATGTAATCGGTATGTAAAATAAGATTTTTTTTCTTAACATATTTCTCACCATCCCAGCACCCCCCCTAAGATAAAGCTCTGGTTCCGCCACTGCTCTAGCCTCCAACATCACAGACTCGGCAACAAGCAGACGCAGCCTGAGTCTCACAGGGAAGGCTAAGAAGTTCGTCGTGCGTACACTCTCATCGCAACACAAAGTTTTGGGCTACACAGAATTTTGGCTTTGGCGACTCCCTTGTTCGGCAGAGAGCAAGTATGGATGTAACCTAGAAAGCACAGAAACATGAGCTATATTTTTTTTTATTAGTAAAATTTTAATTTTTAATTAGACGTTTCCGTGCCTTATCCGTATCTTGATATTTTGAGATTAAAGTTACCCCCCTCCCCGTTTCCGTCCCTGCTTCTATTTCTATTTCTGTCCCGGTGCGACTTAGTTCATCACACTCATTCCTTTCTCTGCCACCCTGTCTCCTTTTTGTTCTTTCATCCCCCACACCATCTCCTTCCTTCTCATCTCTTTTTCTTTCTTTAATTTGGAGTTTCAGCCAACAATCCCGAACGGCTTTTCTTGGTCCAGCAACCCCGTCAAAAAACTGGTTAACACAGTATAAAAGTGTGATTTCGGGACGAGCCATCGCCTTTGACGGATTGAGGTAGTGTCATAGTGAGAAGTAGTTCAATAAGCAAATTAAACACGATTATAGTAGTTAGATATAAAAAAAAGTCAAACATAACTCTTCAGTGAGATTCCAGTTATAGCGTTTAAAGCCTGGTTGTTGATGGCGCAATATGCCGCGTGCGCCATGCGCCATGAGGCGCGCTTAGGCCCTCTGTGCCATGAAATAGGCTGTGGCGTTGAGGATACATGAGGCGACGCCATTCTTGCGCCTTCGCCATTTGGGTGCCATCGCCATGGCGTTGGGCGAAGAAATCCTTGCCTTATTCGCAAGTAGAAGCGCATTGGCAGGCCCAGAACAAGATAAAATAGATTTAGGCCTTGATTTTTTTAAGAAGCTAATTTAATTAAGACTTCAGGCTTAAAATTAAAAGCCCAGACTAATCTACCTTACGGACGATTCGTTGGCCAACATCGTATACCCAAGTCGCACGCAGGAAGGAATCAAACGAATAAGACAAACTCACAGAGTCACCCTCCCTCAGTCCCTCAGTCCCTCACGGAAGCAGCAGAGAAGTCGTTGACTCCCCAGTTCTCAGGTCCTCAATCTTTGGCTTCTGTTTTTTATTTTTTAAAATTTTAATTAATTAAGCTGTATTTATAGTTTTGTACTTTTGTTGTTTTAACCTTGTTTTTTTGCTGTTTTAACTGTGATACTTCTATTTTAAAATAACCTTCTATGATATACTTCATTTTTTGTTTTGATAAGTTATTTAATTTTAATTATATTAATAGACCTTGTTTTCAATTATTAATTGTAAGTTTCTTTTTCAATTTTTTTTAGTAATTGTGAGTTTCAATTCTAAGTTATGTACAACATATATATATATATATATATATATATATATATATATATATATATATATATATATATATATATATATTAAAAGAATGAAGATGGTGTTCCATTGCTATCAGACCAAGATGATGCGGACTGAGGAGTGTGACAATTGATGATGATTATGGAATAATCAACAAACACAAACAAGCTAATATATTTTGAAAGACATGGAACTTTTTTTGAATATTATGTTTTTTTGGAACTACTTTAAACTATTTGAACGTCACATGTTTTGGTTAGAATGCTGTTATTCAACTTGCTTTTATCATATTTTGGTGGTTGGAATACAATTATAGTGTTTATAATTCATTTTTTTAGTTTTTTTGTCATGTGGCGACGCCATATTTGCGCCACGACGCCACAGCCATGTAAAAATGCCTGTGCGCCATGGATGTCGCCATGCGCCATGACAACTATAGTTTAACGAAATTAAGAAATCAGGGAGACATTCAAAATTTGTTAAACTGGCATTGCTGCAGAGGGGGTTGTTAGTTTGTTACATAGAAGAAGGAAAATGTAAGAAAAGAGAGATTATAAAGAAAAAGGAGGATGCAGACATGCAGTTTCATTGTCATGTTACTGAGACAGAGGCTTTTCTTTGCTCCTTGTAAACGAGGGCAAAATAGGAAGAAAAAAGCTTTTATTAAAATTTCTTAAAATGTTTGCCCATTGTAATGTTACATTTATTACAAAATGTGTGCCCATTGTAACAAGATTTTTCTTTCATATGTGATTCTTTTTGGGGAGGGATATCTACTTGTGAAATTGGAAAAGTAGAAGCAGAAAGAGGGTGGGTGCTACCCTGAGATCTTGTTTATCACTTATATTATTGTTTTATTATTATATGTTGTAGGCTGGTTCAAGGGGAGAAGAAGGAATGGCTCTGTTCTTTGTTTGCTGCAACCCAAGCTGTGGCCACAAGTGGAGGGATTAATAAAACTAAAGTGTTTGCCAACTTGTGGGTAGGACTGGGGATGGGGGAGGGGTAATGCTTCCTGCATGCGGTTTTGCCTTTTGGAGACCCTAACAATAGGTCTGGGCTACATGAATTTAGGTACTTGTTTTGTGCATTCATATGTATCACCCATTCATATGGTAGTGAAAAGTTCAGTTACTTTTCAATACCCAATAAATGGGTGTCACATGAATGTCTACAAAAAATATCGATATCATGTATCCCTATCATTAGTCGAGACTTAAATGGGTTGCACATGCATACAATAAAATGTACCTTTACTACATCTAGACTCTAGTGTTGAGGCCATCTTATGAGATATAGATCTTGAAAACTTTATTTCTCCTGATTGTATTCTTAGGCGGCGCGTCAAAATTACTCTTGTTTTCTTGCTTTTCTAATTTGTGTACCTTATTTTCAGGTTGCTCTAAGAAGTAGAGTGCGTACATGGTAATCTGTTTTGTACGGTGTAAACTGTATAGCCAGTGACATTTTTATAGGTTTAGTTGAAAATTGCTACTTTTGCTAATTGAATATCGATGTACTTGTATTGAGTATTAGACCTATTTCGTTGTGTATTAAAAGTTTAATATTGAGCATCACGATTTCTGTTTCTTATTTTGTAATTCACTTTCTTTTTTCATGATTTATATATGAAGTACTTCCTTTGAAACATTCATATCTTATCCTTTTCTTTTTTCGTTTGTAATATTCATATCTTTTCATTTCTAAATTTATCATCATACCCTTAATAATTTTGAAAATAATATATTATTACAATTACTTTTTTTTATTTGTCCTTCATTTCAGAACATATTTCATTGTCTTCCCATAATGCATTCAATGACTTGTATTTTATTTCATTATTCTTAATCTCACCCACTTTTAAATGGGAAGATATAAATGTTACAGAGATAATATTGTGTTTTTGAAATATGCATTGATTAAAATTAGAAATTCTAATAGTTGGAGATTAAACCAATCTTATTGAGCATTGAGTCTCCTCTATTGAGTATTGAAACTTTAAAATCGAATATAAAAATTCAAAACCTATTGAGTAGCGGGTAGACTCGGCCTGGTGTCGGCTCTAGGTTGAAATTGCTCGGTCTTTGCAAAATTTTGATGAGGCTTGGGCTTGACCAGCTATTTTTTGGGTCTAGGTTGGTTTTGGGTACTCCGGCAGTCTGGTTCAAGTCTCGGATCTGGACCCGTTAATTTTTTTTTTGCTTAGTTTGAAGTTATAAAAAATGGACGGTCTTGATTCGGGATTGAGAAACGGACCCGGTCCGGTCCCTAACAATATCGGACTCGGTTTTCCAGATCGTGTTGAACTGCCAGACCGTGTTCACCCCTAATATTGAGTATCAAACATCTTCATTGAGTATCGTGGTTTCTACTAAACATTGAGACTGTGTCGTCAAACATCTACATTGAACATTTGAACTCTATATTGACCATAACATCTACATCGAGTATCACGTTTCTTTACTATTGATCATTGAGATCATGTGATCAAGCTCTAATCAAGAGTCAGGACACCGCGAAATCCAATTTAACATGTGGTAGTTGCATGGGTTTCTTCTGTTAGGAGGAGTCGGTGAGTCGTGAGTAGACGTCTTTAGTGCGGGACGATTGTCTAGTTATTTGGGTGCGAGCCATGAGCCTCGAACGAATCAAGTGTCATTCATGAAACGAAAAAGAAATAACTAGGTTGTACCGAGAGAAAATTTGCTCTATGTCAGATTGTATCAATGGAGGAAGCTTGCTCTTCGCAGTGATGTTTATGGTAATGGTCAGAGGTTGAAGAGATCGGGCGTGTGGCAAACACTGGAATTAGAGAAGGGAAGGGGTGAAGGTTTTCATTTAGTCTCAAAGTTAAGAATAATTTCGAAAATATCTGGTTGAACCATTCTCAAGATATAGCCGATTGTATAATATAGTTTACCTAGAAAGTGGCGTGTTCCATACACATTCTTATCAAGTCTTAATTTTATTAAAACTCAAGCATCTGATGTTGTCCAATTATCACAAACTTGGGAAACACAACCCTTCTAAGCTCTCACCAAAGTCCTTTGCTCACCAAAATTGTGTTGTTGAAGACAATTCTTCTAACATGTCTACATTTTATGGGTGGACCGGTCACCGGTCCGTATTTGGGACCGGCTCGCGGATTGCAGTCTTAAGACCGGTTGCAAGATTGGTTTTCCGGTGTCGAGGTAGATCACATTCTGCGCCATCAATCTATATTTCCCGTCCCGTGTGCTCAAAATGTGGACAGGTCTTGGCTCTTTTGACTGTTGGGGTTGGGGGCATGGGTGGGTTGTAGGCTTGGACCCGGTTCGGGCCACCTGGCCCAGTACTGTGCGGGCCCGGCCCGGCCTGGGAACCGAATACCGGTTCCGGGTCTAGGCGCGGTTTAGGGGGGTAACCGGGGCGGGTGCGGGTCAGGGGAATATGGAACCGGCCCGGCCGAGTCCGGGCCCGATTCGGGATTTATTCTTTTTTTTTTTTTAATTTTTTTAAATTTCCCGGGTTGGGCAGGGTATTTTGGGCCATTTGGGCTGGTTTGGGGGAGGAGGGTCGGGGGTTAATTAGACAAAGCAAAAAAATATATATATAAATTGGCCTGAGGCCCGGCCCAAACCGGACCCGCTGGCAACCCAGGCGGTTCCGGGCCTTCCCCCAACCACAAAAGGCCCGACCGGGCCTAGACCCGGCCCAGGCCTGACCCATCCCAGCTCCATGCCTAGTGGGTTGGGGAAAAATTATAAATACATTTCATTATCATTTTTCACACGCTACAACTATCTCAATATCTCATCTTTGTCTATAAGTTCTATTCTACACCACTATTTTCTTATCTTCATCCTCATATTTATATCTCCAATTTTCTCATCTTTGTCTTGGAAGCAATGTTAATTCAATATGTTATCTATAAGAATGTCAAACGACATGCTCTATGCACAATGTCTTCATTGTCAAAAGATTTGTATTTGGGAAAACATGAAAGCGTGAGTTATGGTACACAACGAAGGCTTTCCATACTCAGCACTCAAGCCCACCAATAATGAAAAAGTGTTGTATTCGTATGTTAATTATTCAAGTCTTATGCATTATTTTCATATTAAACAATTGAATAAAGCTTTATGCCTACCATTGTAGTATTGTATTAGAAACTCAAATGATATAAACGTGGAATACTTTTTATTATTGAAACTCAATTGGGGGGGGGGGGGGGGGGCAGTAATATAGCGGATCGGTCTTGGGTCTCTAAATTACTCCCTCCGTCCAGGGAGAAGTTCTCACTTTCCTTTTTTGGTAGTCCCAACAAAAAGTTCCCATTTCCCTAAATGGAAAGTTATCATACATCAAAACAGTGTCAAACAGTGCCAAACAGTGTCGAAACAGTGCCAAACAGTGTCAAAACAGTGTCAAACAGTAAAATTTACCCCTCAGTAACTTTATTTCCTAAATATGTGTGAAAGTAAACCCGGGAACTTCTCCCTGGGACGGAGGGAGTATATCCTAGGGACTGGAATCAGACCGGTTTGGGTCCACCATTAATTCATCTTATTGTATCTATCATCCGCCAATCGCCATTCACATTTATTTTACTTTTATCGAATTCAGCACTACGCCTCTTTGCTGTATTGAATTCAATTTTTCATGGAAGATAGTGGTGTACTTCAGAAAATTAGAAAATTGAAATTACGTTTAATTAATTCATTATGATTATGAGTTCACATCTCTAGTCTCTAGAATCTAATAAGGCTGAATGAAGGTTAGCCTATTTTGGGTATAAATAATTTGTTGGTGGTACTGTGAGCTGCGTTGACATGCACGCCAGGCTTAAATGTTTGTACAATTTAGAATTTCCGTATCTTTTATCTCCCATTTGATGTGCAGCCCGTTATCTCCGTTATTATCCACCGTTTCCGTTAGTAATGTCCACAAGGCCACAGACCCGCTCACCCACAAGCTCATCTCTCGCTCCATTTTTAGTGCTAGAGGCACATAGGCATTCGGTCGCACGCTCGCACACCCCCTGCTCTCATTCCTTCGTCTTCGTCGCGTCTCTGTAAGTGTTGGTTTTTATTTCTCTCTCATGGCCATATCGATGCATCTTATTCAATTGGCAGATGGTTTTCCCCACCTGCTCACACTTTTCCTGGTATGTCTTTTATACATGACTGTGATTTTTTCTGCCTTTGTTTGCACCGAAGATTGGTTGCTTAGGTCTTCCCTTAACCTGGAATTAAACACTCTTGCAGCTATCCATGTTCAACTGTGTCAGATAATTACGCATTCTTTAATGTTATTTAACCCCTAAGATTGTTTCCCCCTTTTTTTCACCGAATTCTGGTTTCTGATTAAAAAAATTAGGGTCTTCAGAGACCATCGCCCAAAATTTGGGCTGCGCTGTATTTTCAGATTCAGAGTATGTTGCGTTGAATTTCTTTCTCTGTGAAAATCATTTAGCTATTGTGAAGTCTTTTGGCATTTACGTGGATTTTTCTTCAACAATAAAAAATTAAAACTTATTGCTGCAGATTCTTTCTGTATTTCAAGAAATGAATATTTTGCAGTAAAGTCCACAAACATGTGTGTACATGAGTTTTTTACAAGTTCTTAAATCTTAAATCTCTATCTCTACACTTCTATATCAAAGATCATTTATTAATTTGTTTTAGGTATGTAGATAATGTTGAGGTAACTAGCTATGTAATAAGAAGTTAAAAGATCTCCCTGATAGTGGCTGTATATTAAATAATACGTTGTATTGCATACTGGTGGCTTATAAATGCCTTTATTAAACTTCAAGCAACTAATATTTTATACTATTAATCTTAGTTACTTAATTACTCTATTGTAAATAGGTGTGTAATTAGCGCACAATCCCAGTACTATATTCATTGTGGAGCATTTGTGTGCTTCATTTACTTTTAAAATTTGTCCTTTTTTTCAATATTCATTTCAGCCTATGTAAAATAGACCAATATGTTATGGAAAATTAAATTTTCTGTTGATTTTAATTTCTCATTCTCCAGGTTGCCTTCCTCATCTTTATTACTTATTTGGTTAATAATGCTTTCGACATTATAACCATACAGAGTTTTCTTCAAGTAGTCTTTCTCATCTTATTAGTTATTTTAATTTCTTAAACTTTTATGTTTAGACTGGAGGAATTGTTCAATGTTTTTAGCCAAGTGTGTTCCACCTGAATGGTAAAATTGTTATCCTCACCGGATTGTACACATGTAATATACATGTGTTTTGCTTTAGTTGTCTTTCTTCCATTGTATTTCTCCTGCTACTACCTCAAGCTATATTTGAAGGTGGTGAAGATAAATCAAGTTCTTTTAGTTTTACAAAACTTCAGGAGATGTCACTAGACTACCACTTCACTGTTGAGCAGGAACTCAACATGCTCATTTTTCGGGTTCAATGGGACTGCTGGTATAGAGAATACATGCATTAAGTGATGCATGCCGGGGGATGGAAAGATCGAACAACAGTGGAGGACATGGACCTTGCAGTCAGAGCTAGAGCCTTAGGGGATGTAAATTTCTTTTTATTGGTGACTTAGAAGTGAAAAATACACTTCCAAGCACTTTCAAGGCTTACAGATATTAGCAGCACCGTTGGTCTTGCAATCCAGCTAATCTCTTCAAGAA